TCGGTGTTGTTCGACAGGATTTGAGCGAGAATATCCCTTTCACGAACGATTGGCTTACCGGACCCGCATTCACGCTGTCGTCAGTTGCCTACCGCCTATTGTAAGTGTCGAAGCCTTCCTCTATTCATGCTGTGGACTCCTCCGTGCAAACGTTCGATATACAAGTTTGTTTGCTGCTCTTCCTCGTGGCATGTTCGGAATGGTAGACTCTCCGATTCGCTTGCAGCTGCCAAGAAGTGGTTTCTGCCGTTGAAGGATCACCACCGAGTTTCTTTCAAGGCCATTCTTCGGTCGTCGACTCTAATTCGACTAGAGCTAGTTTGAATTTTTAGCCAGAGATCTTCCGTCTCCTTTTATTTTTAGGGTATCTGGGTCCCTGTTCGTCCTCATTCTCCTCCAGCACCGACGTCCTCGCGGCGGGTCTTCGAACTTAATCTACGCTTGCTGGTGTACAATGGGAATTGTTCGAGCTGTGGCAGAAATACCTGATAGCGCCCCGCCCTTCCATTTAAGATGATGAACGCCTCGAGCCGTGCCTTGCGAGGCTGCATCGTCCTAGTGAAGATTCTTTCCTGGTGGACCCCCTGTCGTTCAACTTGTATCTCACCCGTGGGTCTCTTGTAATCGTCTCTGCCCAATACATTCTTCGATTTGACGAACACCTTTTCGTGTGGCCAGAATCCGGCTTGGATACTTGCGTCGAGAATACCCTCTGGTACGAAATGAATGGACGACTTACAACTCCGTTCCTTATCCCTCCGATCTACTAGTAAAGCCCGTCTGCGCCACTATATATATACTTTATATACTACGACGACGACCAACGATACCTCCCGCCGCCCAACGCCAACACCAGCACCAGGCAGAACGCAAAACCTACGCTACAAAGTTCCAATGCAAGACGAGAGAAGCTATGAATGTAGAGCCCGCCTCCGCCATCTGGGACCGACGTACTTATACCATCGAACTCGAACTCAAACAATCCGCATCAGAAACGTACCTCCGTACCTTCTCAATGACCCAGACGTCAAGGGTCTATCCGCCATCAGCGATACGAGTCAAGTATGTAAGTCGAATATTCTCAAACGCTTGATACACGACTCACCATCGAACCTACAGTAACACCACTTCGGGTTCGCTGCCACTAGCGCTGCACGAATCCCAACGACTCCTTCATCTTCTGATCCCCACTAAACCATGAAATAGACAGCCCACGTTGAACGAGGCCGAGGTGGTCCGGTGGTCCGGTGGGGTTGGAAGGGCGAGTAGTATGTAGAACGAGATGTGGAGGTCGACGGCGAGAGGCTGGAATGGAGAGAATAAGAATGAGGGTAGGTACGCATTCCTACACTCGTGGATGACTGGCTGACCTTCTGGGATTTGTAGCTCGTAATCCATGCACGCCCGACGTCATTGAGGATCCTGAGAGGCGAGGATCTATAATGATGGACGTTGGGTGCAATGTCCTCGTGTGATCCTCCCATGCCACAATTAAAGGTCGACAGGTGGGCCGGTGCGAGGACCTCGTACGAGGAACGTGCTCCGATATATTACCGAAGGGACAGCACATTCGCTCTTCGAACCCGAACACCGCGTTCGTCAGCATTATGCTGGATCTCTTGCGACTCCGAGCTGGGCATAAACTTAGCTATGTTCGTGCTCCACGAACACAGGAGGCCTCGACACGAGAACCCCCAGAACCTCTAAGTTATCGAGCACATTCACCAGTCTCTCGGCCCCTAATCAGACGAAAGACAGTCGAACCTCGGGGATGTTCTGCGCCGCCGTCAAGGTTCAGCACTCAGCGCTCAGCGAGTACACGATGCAGAGGTAAGTAGCTCCGTCGATCTCTACGAGTGCAGGTGAGTTATTCTCTTCATTAACGAAATAGAGATCTACCTATTTCTTCACAGCGTTCTCTATCCGCCGATCCGACGGCCTTCCAGAGCCCGT